TCACATGTTTAAGAGACAGAAAGTTGCTAAAAGTCACATTTGCTGTTTAAGTCAGACTTTGGAGACCCTGAGACTCTTGTTCACTCCTGGGAAAAGTTTGAGGGGGAAGGAAAGAGGCTCTGAATCTAGAGATATCAGAACTGAACTATTAAAACCCCATCATTGACTTGGCTAAAAAAAAGCATGAGATTAGAGGATCCTGCTACTATTGATGATAGCTTAGCATGGCCAGCTCAAAAACTAATGATATCAACAGAGCATCCACTTTAGGAACAACAGCATGAAAAATTCCATCAACCTGCTCTCTAGTGACAGAAATATAGATAGATAAATAGATAGATAGGTAGAAAGATAGATAAAATTATATGTCTCTATCTGTACACACACATACAACTATTTAAAGTCTCCGAAAATTATCCAAAGGGCATACAGCAAATAAATGAAGAAACATTTATTTAGGAAAATCTACTAAAAATGAGTAAGTACCCTAAGAGTCTGTAGGAAGCTGAGCCACAGCTCACTTCCTTCTCCTGCTCTCCTCCAGTCCCTCCTCTGTTGTGGACAGTCCTTCTGTCACGTTGAACACCAGCTCAACTTAACAGAAGCCCCCCTCTGGGTGGATATGTTCAAGAAGATAGCACTCCCTCTCTTTTCAGCCCCCAATCGGGGGGGCACTGCATTTACTAGGAAGGAGAGGTCACCATCATTTTGAATCCCCTCCAACTCAGAGTTGCTGAGGCTACCTTATTGGTGAGTCCTATTACTTCCTCCACCCAGCCTCTACTCCTATGTTGGTTGCTCTACCTGGGCATAAATATTAGGGCTCTGATCTTCATCCTAGTTCATTTGTGGGACAGATTTTCAGTGCCAAGAAAGGCAAGCTGAGAATAATAGAGGCTACCGCCCCTGCCCAATATTCAGATTAGTTGTGCAGGGAAACAGACTGTCCTTTAAAACAGGCAACTCCAAAGCTTTCACCAAAGAAATTAATTTTATTTAAAACATGGTGTGAGTCATTTCAATACCAAAGAACACTCTCAAAAACATTGGAGATTTAGGTGATAAACAATTAAGAGGACACTGTTAGCTCTATGAAATCACCAAGCTAAACCAGAAGCCAGCTAGTTTACCAGGGACAAGCAGGGAAATAGCCAAGAAAAACCTTTCTAGAGTCAGAACAAACCTCCAAGATGGTCTTTAAAAACCATCCCTACCCATATTAATTGGACCAGACTGTGGACTAATTTATGCCTGAGGACACCGTCAAAAACAATAGAGCCATCAGGCCATAATTAATGGAGTCTTAAGAGCGGGGTGTGATACCAGTAGAAGCAGCTCATTAGACAGATCAGGGAAAGAGACAAAGAGAGTCTCCCTTTATAAAAAACTGCCATCCCTGGGTGATTGTGCACACAACCCAGGGCTACCTTAGGAGGAGCAAATGAGAAGCTTCACACAGCGGGCAAAATAGACTTCACTAAAATATTCTAGCCAAGTCACTAAATAAATAAACAAGCAACCAACAATAAAAACAAGCCCTGTGAAGGGAAGTGGAAATCAATAGCCAGAGTTGCTAAAATATATTACCTAAAATGTCCAGTTTCAACAAAAGTTTATGAGACATGCACAGAAAAAATAAGACCGATGCATAGGAAAAGAAAGCAGGCAGCAGAGATTGCCTGTACAAGGGGCCAGGTGTCATAGTTGGACAAATGGTCATCTTTCTGGGAAGAATTAAGTGCAGTCTGGCTGGAATGGAAAGGCTCTCCTGCAGTGTAGTGCCTCAGGTTCCTGTTCAAAGCCCACTAAAAGGGACCAGAGTGACATACTGGAAAGACTTGCAGCTGTAAGGAGGAAGCAACTCCAGTATGTACTGTAACCAGTTAACCTTTTATAAAACATTTTTTTAATCCTTTGTCTTTCAGATGTGTTAACATGTATATATTTATCATATAAAGGTATAAAAATAATGCAACAATAAAATGTATTTGTGTATGGAAAGTTCACTTTAGTCCAACCTCAAAAAGAGTCTACTTTTTTTCTAAATGCTAAATGAGGGATGCCTGGGTGGCTCAATGGGTTAAGTGTTTGCCTTCGGATCAGGTCATGATCCCAGGGTCCTCGGATTGGGCCCCACATTGGGCTCCCTGCTCAGTGGGGAGCCTGCTTCTCCCTCTCCCTCTGCTTCTGCCCCCCCCCCGCTCATGCTCTCTCTCTCTCTCTCAGCTGCTCTCTCTCCCTCTCAAATAAATAAAATCTTTAAAAAAGATGCTAAATGAAATATGAAATAGGCACATTATGGGTTGGATTAAATTTAATGATTCAAGAAAACATATTACTTTAAATTCTTGTATTTTATTATTACATGTTGAAGCCCAGATACTCTAATTATATCAAGAATATAAAACACATTTTATAAGGTAATTTACCACTTACAACTGATGTTTCTTTCTTTCTACCAAGAGATTGTTTTAATCTACTTTCCTCAGACTGCTTAGATATTTATAGAGATGTCTCAATCATATATTTGATTGATTTCTTTTAATCTGTCAATTGTGAGAAAAGAACATATTTAATGAAAGAAATGGTCTGATGCTATTCATAGTGTCCGTTGCATCACAAAATACTCCAGTATATATGGGTTGTCCTGTTTGACGGTTTGTGATGGAATACCAAATGTGAATTAATACATTGATACAGAAGTTCTAAAACACAAATTAAAAGATAGTTCTTAATTTTTCCACAAGTAACCGAATTAAAAATTAAATAGAACTATGAAGGCCGTTCATTTAGGAATGGAAATTGTGAATTCTAAGAATTCTAGACATGCTCATGTGTAGCTGCAGAAGAAAAAGCATATAAGAGACTCTTAATGCTGCTTGCCCACATGTAAAATTTCCTCCTCTATGCACTTAGGTTTGATAAAACAGAAATCATAGGAAATCTGATAAACATGTTTGAAAATTCTTTCATAGAAAAATTATAGCCTCGTTAGAAATACTTTGTATTAATTCAAAGAATCATAGAGATTTAAAAAGGAAAAATTTCAAGCAAGATACAAGTACTTTAAGTACCTATATCTCTCTCTTTTTAATCATTTAATCATTTAATCTATACTACAAAGGTTAAAGATTTTAAATATTTAGCAAAATGTACCTTTTAACCTTCTCTCTCTCAGAAGGCAATCGAAACTCTATTTAATTCATTAAATTAATCCTTGGTGGCCACAGCAGAATAAAAATTTCATTTCTTTAGCATGCAAATGATGCTATTAATGTGTGGAAATATACAGCACAAAAGTCATTTACTTGTCTAAGTGAATTTTGTTCTAAAACCTGCAATGTATTTCATATACAAGCAATAAAGATTAAAAGCAATGTGAAATTTAATCTGGCAGTGAGTGCAAAACATTACCTTTGTTTTTATGGATAAAAATTTGTTTTAAAAATTGTTTTGGAAATGTGGGGTTCATCTTTTGGCATAAAATTAGCCTAGGCTACATTCTTTGAGCATCTTGCAAGTTTAATGGACTTGAAAACTTGAAGATAAGACCTTTCAATGATCTTTGGGATATGGTATTGTTATCTATCCACAGATAAATCATGAACATATACTTAGCTCTTGAAAGTGTGTGATTTTTTAAAATAAGCTTAATTTTTTAACACTTTTAGATTTACAGAATTATTGCAAAAAAAAAATAACTAAAAGGGTTCTCACATACCCTATTCTCAGTTTCCCCTTTTACTAACAACTTGGATTAAGTGGTATATTTGTCACAATTAACAAACTGATGTTGATACACCATCACTATTATTATTATTAACTCACGTCTGTACTTCATAAATTTTGTTGCTCAAATTGTTCCAGCTTTGATCATTGGGAGCTGGTTTAGTTGGCTCCTATAATTTTTTTCTTTTTTGAGCATTTATTTTCTGGCTCTACAAGATACTCTAAGTTCATCTTGTATATTTCCTGCCTCATTTCTAGAATCAGCCCTTCCTCAAATAACTCTGGTTCCTTTTATTGGAGAATGGTGTGAGAAACCAAGATCTACACACTAGGTGCGTTCATTACTGCTAGGTTATTGTTTCTAGGCCCTCTAAGCTGACAAGCTAACTAGATGGTTGTATGTATACTAACCCATGCATATGCATGTATCTGCAAATATACGAACCTCTATCTGTATTAAACCAAACATGAGTTCATTAGTATCTGTAACTCCAGTCTACTACATGGGTCATTCTAACCTCTTCCCCTTGCTTTTCTCCCACTCTAATAGTGAGAAGCCTGCTGTTCATTTACTTTAACTGTTCCATGTAGCCATATATAGGGATTTCAAAATTGCTCACCCATGTGCCAGTGGGAAACCCCTTTGCCAAATATAGAATAGTGCTAGGTACAGTTACTTTCACCTTTAGTCCTCTAGATCCTATTCATTTCCAAAGTTATTAGGTTAACATCTTTGTTAACAAACCCTTCAGTAAGGTTGTTTCTTTAAATCAAAAACATATTCAAGGAATATTAATTAATCTGAAATGTGGCAAAAATTTAATAAAGATACAGTTTAAAAAATATATTCCAGTTTCCTCAAACCCTTCTTTCTGGAACTGGCTTATCTTAATCAGAGCAAAACTAGTCCATGTGTTTGGTTTCCTTTGGCTCGTTTATCTTCCCTTTTAAGATTGAGTTAGAAAGGTTAGTAATGGGAATCCAAATGGGTGACATAAGTAACCTAATATCCTGGTAAACTCTTAGATTATGCAATACAATAATGAAGAAATCCTCAACGCTTTACCTATAAAACGGCACCTAAGGCATCCTACAATATGCCATCCACTTATTACTTCAGGAACATCTGCCTCTAATTCCTCAAGGTGAACATTAAACATCACACCAACCAACTTGTGTGAACAAGCTGACACCTTCCTCTCATTTTGGAAAGCTCTCTATAGAACAGATACTCATCTTTCAAAGTGTGGATAATTTACATATTAACTCACTTAAGGCTAGAAGATCATCTGTTAGCTCAGAGCTCTGTGGTACGCACAGGAAATACTGAGATGAACATTCAGTCCCACCTTTACTGAGAAAGACAGAGAAGGAAACGGTTATAGTAATCAGATAAATATTATGACAGAGGGAAATATAAAGTCTTCCTCATCCTTAGGATTGGAATAATTTGATAATTTCTCTTTGCTTCTACTAACTTTATTTTACTGATTTTATTTTGTATTATGATACATTATTTTTATCATCTCTTAATTCAATGCGACAGCATTCATGAAGAGATCTTATTCATTGCTTTGTTTCCACAGCATCTAGCACAAGGCTTTGACCAGATAATAGCTGTTCTAAAAGATTTGCAGAACAAGCCTGTAATACTTTCCTAATATATAAATGGCATTTCTCATCAAACTACTCTTTTTATTATGGAGGATGTGAAAATGTTTTGGAAGCCTTTACATTTAGGACTACTTAAAATAGCTTGTTGGTAGGTATTTTACATTTAGAGTTACATAACTCCTTTTCATTAAAGACTATGATTTATTATGGCAGCATCATTAAACTTTCCATAAAGAAAAACCCTGAAACTACGTGGAATAATAGCTCAAATGTAGAATGCTCCAAAAGATAACTATAAAATCTAAATATACTTGGTAAATATTTATCATGCTTTAAAGTTTTAACATACCTGAAAACAGAAAAAAAAGTCCAATCTGAAATGAATATTAAGAAAATTAAGAAAAAAATTAGTCCCTAGGTTAGAAGTGAGTAAATATTATTAATATAAATTATGATAATGAGTTGAATATTTAAATAATTATTTCAATGCATATATTTAATTACTGATTTTAAGGCACCATTAATATTACTAGGTACAGACCAATGAAAGCTATAAAATAATGAGTTTAACTAAATATATTTCAGTTGTCTCACTTTTTTTTTTTTTTTTAAAGATTTTATTTATTTATTTGAGAGAGAGAGAATGAGAGAGCACATGAGAGGGGGGAGGGTCAGAGGGGGAAGCAGACTCCCTGCCGAGCAGGGAGCCCGATGCAGGACTCGATGCAGGACTCGATCCAGGGACTCCAGGATCATGACCTGAGCCGAAGGCAGTCGCTTAACCAACTGAGCCACCCAGGCGCCCTCTCTCACTTCTCTTTTCAAAAGAAGTAAAGCCCAATTGTCTATATGGCAGTGGTTAAGGGAAGTAAATTCCTGCCAAACATTGACTGTGCCTACGCAAATTAACTGTTGCTATGAGATAATATTCAGCAAAGGTTACAAGGAACCAATCAGAGATTCTATCTTCACGAATAATAAGTATGAGTGAGCAGAATTTCTTGAAGATGTTTATAATCTGAACAATATATGCATGCAATATTTTTATAGAATGGAAAAGGTAGCCTCATTTTTCATTCATTTATGCATGCAGCATATATATTATGAGTAAGGCACAACGTCTTGCGAGAATAGGTATAGAAAGATGTTAACTCGTCCTCTCTTTCTTGCTCTCCTTTCCTCTCTTCGCTTCCTTTGTTCAGAAAATGTGCATTGTAATATTTTCCCTAGAATTTTATCTGGATATTTGCTTTCTCTTTCCCTTTAACTTTGATGGTTCAAGGAACCTTGTGTAGCACATGCTTTGCAGCTTCACCTAGAAACACTCCCTCCGGGGTGGAGGTGCTCAGATCTCGGGCTGGCAGGCTGCTCACAGTTACCCCTTCAGTTGCCCTCAGTTAAAGGCACACCCCTTCCTTTGAAGCAGACTTCATGCAATGTCTAGTTGATGGAGGGAGAAGAAGACCTGGCCTCTGTGCCTCAATTTGAGAAACCTCTGAGGTATTATCTCAACTCCTGAGCTCTCTGTGGACTTGTCTGAGGGTCTGAGGCCTCTGCTCCAACTACATTGAACTTCAACTTTTCCTTCTGCCAGTCCTGCTCTCTTCACTTCCTTCTGGGTGTGGTTCCCAAATGCCCTTTCCTCTATATGGTCCCTTGCATCCCTATCTCCTTCTCAGTTTTTATAGATGATAAACTTAACCTAGAAGACTTAGTACTGGAAGTGACCTAGAAAGCAGGCTCTAAAATGGGGTTTTAGAACTGTAGCATCTGTTGGCCAACTGGCAGGGAATATAGCTCCTAGCATGTGGTGGGGGTGTAACTGTGAAGAATTTTGCAGGTGGTGAACTGGGTAGAAAGGAATTCATTAATGCTTGCAATATCTCAAGTGTTTAAGAGGTAGAAGGAAATTAATAATTCTAAAGACCATCAGATCAAATGGCTATTTCTGGGTAATATTGATGTGTCAGATAAAAACAGGCTGAAAGTGATTAATACGTAAATTGATAAGTAAATTAAAGTAATTGAAGGTAAAATGTGACCATTAATTCCCTTGGTTTCCTTGGCAACATATATGAAGATGCTCATCTCTGGCAGTGAAGGGCAGAGGATGAGGATGAGACCCAAGACTTGATCAGAAAGGTAGCAGAACTCCAGAGAAGGTAGAATTCTCAATCAGAGGAAGTTTCCTGCAAAGTCAGGGACTCAGAAGGAATAGGACCCTGAAACTTGGATGGAGATATCTGATACGATGCTCTTAGTACCTTGGAACTCAGAACACTTCTCTGGACTTTTGGAAATGGAAAACTCCTCCCTGACAAAGTCTAGCAAACTCCCTTGCTTGAGCATGATACAGAGACGTCTGTCTCACAAGACAACAGAAGAGTTGTTCTGAGCCTGCTAATGGAGGAAAGGGGCTAGATGCTGATGGGACTGCAGCATCCAGCAGCATGTACAGGCAACAGTTGTGACAGAACATATGGAACTGGATCTCAACATTGCTGGATCAAAGAGGGCGGGATATTAAGTTTGATTAAGGGAAAGTTTACTGATATAGCAATACTCTCCCAAGATAAGAATTTAAAGCCACAAGACCCCTAGTGCTATGCTGTAAGGAGGGCTCTTGGAAGTTGGGGAAAGTGATGGCCTATATTATAATAAATAGAAATGCCCTTGTCAGGTAGTAGAGGAAGAGATCGAAATGACAAAAGAAACAGGCATTCTAAATAAAAACTCTATAAGCCCAGAAAACACACCAGCTGACTGCGATCCATGGAGAGCCTGAAGGACATGCCATTTACCAAAGTGCTGGAGAGTATGCTGATTAGAATGGTACTAGCATCATTGCGAAGCTCAGTGGTAGCCCAGCGCTAAGGTTAAGAGACACTGTTACAGAACTGGGTTCCATAGTAGCAGTGGGTATGATGGGAACCCAAAATAAGAGAAGGCAGCATCAACTACCAGAAGCAATGTGGGTACAACTACGTTAACATGTGGCCAGACTGGAATGTCAGCCCAGGGTCCTGGTCTACACGGTGCTAGGAAGATGGTTATAGACAGTTTTCATAGAGACAAAATGTATGGACAGTCACTAAGAGTGTTGCTTAATTTACACCATCAAATGAATTAGGCACGTGATCTGATGAGCACTGGGTGTTTTACGCAACTGATGGATTATTGAACTCTACATCTGAAACTAATGATGTACTATAGGTTGGCTAATTGAATTTAAATTAAAAAAATGAGTTAGAATGTATAACCAGGAGGCAGAAGGCAATCATCCCGATAAAAGCTTATGTTCTTTGTTTAGTTCTCAGATCTGGAACACGTTGACTGGAGAATATGAGGCCTCATGAGGAAAGATCCTGGTATACCACAGTATGTATGTATGTTAATGATTCCCCCAGACCTTCCCTGAAGGAAATTATGGTTACTTGCTCAGGTAAGCTTATACTGGACAAAAGGGAATGACGGAACCATTGGGCATAAATCCAAGTTGACACTGACCACTGGATCCAAAGTGTCATCATGGCGCCCCTGCTGGAAAGATCATAGGTTCAACTGTGGCTGCCAAGGCAGAAAACGTAGTTCATCCAACTAACTCTCTTCTTGTACATTTCCTTAATTAACAAGACAAACTAGTGCTTGGCCAAACGTTACTTTAGAAGGGAGTGAGCTGTGTAAGAGCATAGCAGGAGGAGGATCATAGGGGGTGTTGTGCTGGCCTGCCTGGATCCCCTGTCCAGTACAGAGACACTCACTCCTCCAGGTTCCAGAGTCATTGGTTGCTGACAACTTAATCTGTATCTCTCACCAGGGCTTGCCCTTGATTTAAGGCAACTGTGCTCCCCATGGTCTATTTGCTCTCATTTCTTTCCTAAAGCCACCTCATAGATGTACCAGTTTAGAGCCTGAGGAATCCATAATCACCACCAGATACTGGCTGTTCCAAAACGTGCTGCCACACTGCTCATGCTGAGAAATGAGACAGAGGCCCTGGTGAAGCCAGTGAAAATCAAACAATCCAAAGAAATGCTTTTGTTTAATTCTTCAGGGGCTGCCATTAATGCTGAACTGTGGGTTTGTCCTGGCTGGTCTTGCCAGGTGCAAGAACTGTAACCCACACACATTCCCTTGAGGCTGGGAGACCACCAAGATGGGAGACTACCCGATGATGGTTGCTCAAGAGACTTCGTGAGCCTCTGTGCCTTCTATCATGACACAGCTGTCTCAGTTCACATGCACAGACACGCACACACACAGACACGTGTGCACGCACATGCAAGCACATACACACACAACACTCACACAACCATTTTTCACGGTGAGTTTGGAACCGGGTAAGATCATCTGTGAGTTTGGAACCGGGTAAGATCATCTGTCTGGGCTCCTCTCTCTATAAAGGAAGAAGTTAGGATCCTAATTATTTTCTTCCCAATTAAGTCTTCATGCCTTGTGCTAATTGCCTTGCATTATGCCCAGAAAATTGAATTCTACATACCAAGAAAATTTGCGGTGAAGCAATCTCTGTTAAAAAACAAAAACACAAAAAACCTGTTAAAAGCTTTCTCCAAAGCAATGGGTAGTCACTGTCTCATATTTGTTACGTAAGAGGGCACATGAGAGATCCTTTCCAAAGTAAAAACAGTATCAAGGAGACTTACACCTTTGTGTTAGATCTAGGGTCTGGTAGCTTTAAATACCAGGTTTTTGCTAATAACACTAATAAAATGTTTAACATACTACCTTATCAAACACTCTTTAACATGCATATTAATTTTCTTGATGAGAAAGGAAAGACAAACTAGACATAAGTGTTTGAAAGTAGATTAATCGTTATTATGTGATGCTGTCTAATTAATCAATTTGAAAAGATAACCCAGTTAATAATTTGTTGCATTTAACTATTCCATTATTGAATACATTTTTCAGTTTAATTTTCACCTGTTTGCCATAAACTTGATATATATTTTTAATAAATATACACATATATTTAAATATATATATAAAATAAATATATATGTATATTTTAAGCAGACTATAGTAGAGGCAAAGTAAATGGTGCTTAAGTTTGCAGTAGAAATGAAATGTTAGAACTTTGGCTATAACACTGAGCAAGGAGTAAAGACAAAGTTTAAAGTAGTTTCCCTTGAAATACACTGATTGGTTGTCTGCCTTTGATAAATATATTTTTATAATTGCTCAAATCATATTTCAAACTGCCTCTATGAATATATCCTCCCTGGAATATTTTAAATCTTTCAGGGCATTTATTAGGAGCATATATTATAAAGTACGAAATGATTATTTAATGAACTTTCTCTTCTGCCTCAGCTCCTACTAAGATGCACCCACCCACAAAGCTACATTGAAGTGACACCAATGTGTCATAAATATAACATTCCTAAAGACTGTAATATAGTATCATTTTAAAACTTTAAATTGCTGCAGGTGATGAATGAGGTTCTGGATCTAAAACAAAAACAAAAACAAAAACAAAAACAAAAACAAAAAAAACCAAAAAAACCCCACAAAGACTTCAACTGCTGTTTTATTGGATGTCAGCGTGCAGCCTATCTGATACGGAAGGCAGTGGTGCAAAGGGAGAGTCACCAGTGTGTGCAAGACGAGAAGTGTGAGGAGGCTTATGACTTCTGCATGGGTGGAGGTGATGTTTTTTTTGTTCATACACAGAATGGAAATTCCTGATGAAAGAACAGGGACTATAACATCTTCCAATCACTGCAATAAAATTCAGAAACCATTGTTTGAGACATGTTAAAAAGCAAAGACCCACTAAAGAAAGGCAGAAAATTATTGCATCATGAAAAGAGGAATAGCACTTACTAGTAGTGACTAGCGACCCTGTGTTTGCAGAATGTATTGGAAGAACCAAAAATCTTGACAATGTAGCTAAAGCTGTGGATAATTGTCTTTACCTCTACCTTATAACTTTTTGCAGGGGTGAGGATTTCAAGGAGTAAAAATAAATACATGGATTTTGTTTTTATTTTGAAATGGGAGCTTTTTGGTTTACAAGTTCTTTAAAAACTAAAAACTGTTTCTGTAAAAAAATAAATAAATAAGAATAAATAAATAAATACATGGAGGTGACTCGGCAGGTTGCCATTGGAGTGCACCCAACAGCCACACTGAGGAGGTTTAATGGACTCTAAGTAGGAAGAGAGAAGGAAATGGCAAGAAGCATATTCCCCGCAATGCTTGGCGAGACATATTGTTAATGGCAGTGCTGAAAATGTGCTTTAAATATTTCCCTCTCTGTTTTTTGTTGCTTTCCTAGGAGGATTATTCATCACCACAGAACTGGAGGTGGGTTTGAGGATAGAAAGGGCATACAGAATGAATAATCCTCTTAATCCTGCTAAATCTTTGGTACTTTCCTCTACATTTTTTTCTCAAGCAAAACAAAAACCTAATACTTCAGGCTTACATAATAGTGTCAAAGCCAAACAGTGAACAACACCCGTATCAGTTCAGAATAATTAATGATTTTTCACTGTAATTACTTTTGGCCTCATCTTAAAAAAAAAAAACAAAAAACCACATTTTTCTACATTAAGGACATAAAACCAAAAATACAAATTCACACCGGAGTGGTACTCACTAATAAAAGAAACGC